CCTTTTCCGCCCTCCCGTCCCCCTCCCTCGGCCCGCCGCCGCTGCTCCAGATGAGGTGATGGCAACGGCCAACTTCGGCAAGATCCAGATTGGGATTTACGTGGAGATCAAGCGGAGCGATGGTGAGCCGCGCCGTCGGCCCCGCGTTCGGATGTGCACGGAGAGGACGCGGGCGCCGGCAGCCTCATTGATTGCTTCGCCGGGCTGTGGGGGCGGGAAGGCGGCGGCCGCGGCGCTTTTGTGTGTGGCGTGTGCGCGAGTGCGGCCGGCTTGTGTGGTCCGCCCGGGCGCCGCTGCAGTGCTGGGGCCAGGCCGCGGGCGAGACCGGGTGGGGAAGAGGCCTGGGTGTCGCGGGCCACGTCCCCGGGGGCCCCGGGCGGGCGCGGTGGACGGTTCCGGGGTCCCTAGCTCCTCCCGCGTTCTCCATCCTCCCCGGGGACAGCAGCCCAGGAGGGAGCGGGCTTCGTTAGGGCTGACCCTGCCTCGCGCTGCGCCCAGCCTGTTCATTTTACCGGTCTCAGCTCTAACGGGGTAGGCATGGGGGAGCGCCAAGATCAGTGATTTCAGTATTGAGAGAATTGACTACCGGTCAGAGGCCGAGGTGGGGGGACAGGGCCGATCCCGTTGCTTTAAACTGCTGTTCGTTGTCAGGCCTCTTCGGCTTTCGTCTCCTAGCATGCTGCTTTCTCTCTTGCCAGTTCCTTCCTTGGGAGGATGTAGAGAATGTCGCGCTCAGCCATGAATAAGGGTGGGGGAAGCAATGGGAAGAAATCCTCGCTAAGCTTCTCCAAGGTGCTGAGACTGGAGGGGACCAGGCACAACTGAGAGAGGGGGTGGGCGACCGGATGTTGATATTTTCACACCCTCGGGAGAGGTAACAGAGACAAGTGTAAGGCGAGGTGAAGGAGCTTCAATTTTTTTTTTTTTTTTTTTAAAGAGCCTTAGGTTTATATATCTCTCTGTAGGTTTTTCTTGGGGAAAATGTTTCATGTCACTAGCTTGGGGTGTGGAGGGAGACAAGCCAGCATGGCTTGAAAATACAGTATATTGTAAAGGAGAAAATGCACGGGAGGAGGGAGTAAAAATTATTTTTTTCAATCCAAATAGTGAAAGAACTAAAGATGTGTAATATGTAGATTTGTACAGTGTTTTGACTCATTTCTCTTGTACCCATTTCTTTTATTTGTGGTTTATATAGTTTAGGAGTAACATTGCTGTCACATCTGTGCCCTCTTGGGAGTCTACCAAGTTTGACCAAGATGTATGAAGCTACATTGACTTTCATGTTCTCTATATTATATATTAGATGACCCTATATAGCTAATGATTTTTTCCCTTCATTATATGTGGGAAAATTATTGTGAGGTAATTTATGGTAACAACTGGAATGTGAAAAGATAAATTACACCACTTAGAGCTTTAGAAGTTACACTTGGGTTGGAGTTTCTTTCATATTTTCTCTTCAGTTTACTGTCTTGAAAGAGTGCTGGTAATGTGGTTTCTTTTTTAGGTGAATGTGGGCTTACTGTATTCCAATTAAAGTAGGATTTACATATTAAAAAATTTTGACTGCGTAGCAGCCCCTCTTCTGGCTGTGTACCCAAAGAAGATGAAATCACCATCCTGTAAAGATACCTTCAGTGATGGCAGCATTATTCACAATAGCTAAGATAAGGAAACAACCTAGATGTCCATCAAGGGACAAATAGCTACAGAAGAAATGGTGTATATATACTAGGCAGTATTATTCAGACCTGAGAGGGGAGATCCTGTCATTTATCACAACATGGATAGACCTAGAGGACATTTTGCTAAGTGAAATAAGCCAGGCATGGAAAGAAAAATACTGCATGATTGCACTTCATGTGGAATATTTTCAAAAAGGACTGCAAATTCACAAAGGTAGGGAATGAAACAGTGATTAACAACAGGTGTGTGTGGGTCGGGTCAGATGTGGGTCAAAGGACAAAATAGACATACAGGTTGAAAAGATTTGGAGATATGTGAGGATTAAAGTCATAAAATTGTATATGGGATTTTGTTAAATAAGTAGACTTTAACAGCTCTTGCAATTAAAAAGAGTAATTATGTGAAATGATAGCTGTGTTACTCTGCTTGAGTAACCATTTTACTATGTATATATAGCCTGTGCTCTAAACCTCAGATATCCACAGTGAAATTTATTTTTTAAAAATTTGGGGTGCAACAAAACCTGTAAGTTCTTTACGTTATTATAAGTCTGTAACTGTGATTATAGCTTTTACCTGTGAAATGTCATCAGAAACAAATATATATATGACATTCCAGAGGTTTGTCCATTTTACTTTTTACTGAGCTAACATCTTTTATTTAAACATATTGAAGGAATTTTGTTCTTTTTAGTTTTCTAGGATATGGAACCCTTTCTCCCTTCACCTTCATTCTATATCAGAAATTCTCAGACATGCAAGAGCTTTATGTTTTTACATCAGTGCTAGTAATCTAAAATTATGTTTCAAAGGCGGTTTGCCCGTAAGTGATTATGGAAATCATTATAATGTGGTATTATCCTAACCTAAAGTCATGTACATGTTTATGTGCCTTAGATACGTAATAGATTTGGTGGAAAGGCAAAGGTAAGTAGACAACTTGAAAAGAAGGGAATGCTCATTTGCATTGGAGAGTGGAGTTAATCAAAAAAAACATTGTAGTTGGATGAACATTAATGTAATGTCTAAGACAGTAGAAATGACATAAGTAAAGAAGGACTGCTTCAGGCTGTTACTAACTGATGACTGGGCATTTTTCTGTGTATTTCCTAACTGTGATCCTTGCCTTCATTTCAAACCATGCTAATATATTAATACATATATTCCAGGGGCAAACAAGTAAACTAAAATGGGCTTATTCCTAATCTTTCAAGATCCTGCTAAAAGACTAATCTGAATAAGTCTTCACTGATTACCAAAACCAGATGGCCAGTTGGCCATTTGGCTTCTGAATTACTTTCACTCTGTATCAATTGGTGAAATAGCATATTTAAGTATTTATGTATTGATGTTTGGGTATGTAACTCTTAAATGTTAACGTTTTTAAGCTGCAGTGGGGAACAAGTGGTGTGGAGAATGCAGGGGAAGTATGTCTGGCTACCCTCACTTCAAGCAGAGTTAATCCGTTACAGGATGGATATACTAAGACTCTTATTTAAATTCCCTGAATTCATCTATATATCATCTCCCCCTCCTCGGATGCCTAGTAGAGTTCCTTGAGGGATTATATGTTATTTGATTTTTGGTTTCAAACATTATTTCAGTTAACCATTCAGATGAAATCTTATCAGGAATTAAATAATAATTTCATCTATAGTCATTCTGTACTGACACCTCCTTACTATTTTCCACTGGTCTCTTGGTTCAGAATCTCAAGAGTTGATTAAAACTGAATGATCTGATAAGGCTAATCTGAGTTGCTGGTATTCTAATGTTATAAATGACAGGGGTTAGGCTTGCACTCCTAAGATTGTTCTCTGCTACAGGAAATAACCTAGTGTGAAATGGAGCTGGTTTCTGGAAATGAATAGTCATTTAAGTCATGTATATTTTCTTGCATGTGTCTTCTATTATCTCTCTGATTCAATTCCTTTTTAGAGCTCAGTGACTTAAAAAAACTACAGTCTTGGCTCAGCGCCTGTGGCTCAAGTGGCTAAGGTGCCAGCCACATACACCTGAGCTGGCGGGTTTGAATCCAGCCTGGGCCCACCAAACAACAATGAAGGCTGCAACCAAAAAATAGCCAGGCATTTGTAGTCCCAGCTACTTGGGCATCTGTAGTCCCAGCTACTTGGGAGGCGGAGGCAGGAGAATCGCTTGAGCCCAGGAGTTGGAGGTTGCTGTGAGCTGTGATGCCACAGTACTCTACCCAGGGTGATAGCTTGAGGCTCTGTCTCAAAAAACAAAACAAAACAAAACAAAAAACTACAGTCTTGTTATTGTGTAGCTAATTTTTGTTGGGAGTTTTTTTTTTACATTGTACTATTATCAGTTCTACAGTAACTGTGACTTCTTTGGGGGACTAGGGAAGAGATGAGAAATGTTGGCTATTTGGAAGCTGCAGCTAAGATGGGATTGTTATTTGGAGTCTCTTAGTCACAGGATTGGCATATGTGATTGGAAGAGAATCTTAGAATATTTCTACCAGAAAGATCCTTGGAGTTAAACTAGTTCTCATATTTATACATGTGGAAACTGAGTCCCATGCCCCCGTAAGTGACTTATCTAGATTCATACAGCTTATTTGTGGCAACCAGGAATCCGTATTGCTCAGCATAGAAACCAGATTATCTATCAAGAACTATGACAGTAAAGGAGGAATTCTGTAATTTTGGAACTATATATAGCAGGGGTGTCTAACCTTTTTGTTTTCTCTGCTACACTGTAAAAATAAGAGTTGTCTTGGGCCACACATAAATACACAAACACTATGAAAACTAAAGCTGATTATCAAAAAAAAAAAAAAGTCTGTGCATACTTTTAGTGATATTTGACACACAGATAAACAAAGAAAAGTCCTCAGAGAATCAGCATGCATGCAGCCAGAGCTCCAGGTCAGATGCTGATGTATAGCTTTTTGCAGCCTGATCAGGATGTAGGAAACTGCTTTTCAGTTATGGGAAAGGCACCAGGGAGCAATGATAATAAAGCATGATTGGGATGATCTCTGGTAAAAAGTAATAGGGTGGTATCACAAACCCAAAGTTGTGGGAAGAAAATATTCTTGTTTCTTAACATTGGTGAAAAGAGTGCCTTGATTAAGGATCTGAAATCCAGAGGAAAGAGAATATTTCAAAGAACCCATCAGGAATTTTTGGAGTTTAGGGCAAATAAACTTCAGAAAGGATTTTCAATGACTTAACTCTTTACCTGGTTTGCCACATTTATTCTTCTGCTAGTTCATCTTTACGTGTCATTATGTAGGCTTCTGAAGAATAACTGCCTAAGTTTAGTTAATAAAAATGAACTGTATAGCAATACAGTTCTTCAGGTACAAGATGTAACTGATGATGGGGGTGGGGTTGAATGGGGGAAAATGTGGATTAATAATTCCCTTTTCCATGGTGACAAGGACAATAATGAATAATGAATAC